CTGCTGAGCTGTTTGCGCTGTCCCTGGCTCCAGGTGCGCGTTCTAAACCGGGCCGGCGGGTGCTCCACTCACTCGCAGTTTGCCGCCTCGGGCTCCCCGGGACCCCGCTGGGACGTACGTGCGAGCAGGCTCAGTCAGGAGGCCTTGGGTCTGGCCTTCCGTCTTCCGGGTCTTCTATTTTATTGCTCCTTGGGTGACCTGCCCCCATTCTTCCCGCTGAAATCAGTCTCGGAGAGAAGTTTCCTGCCGGGGTTGAAGGATCCAGGCTGAGATGCGGCAACGGTTCACTACGCCGGCTCAAGCACTGGGGCCTGATCCGAGCAAAAAGGCCTGTTAACTATCCCCCCCTAAGTTCTACCTAACCCCTCCTCTGCCCCTCCGCCCCAGGAGCGGGATGCATAGCCCGGCTCTTTGTATCCACACCCCCGAGGCAGGAGTCCCTGGAGTGGTCACTCGCCTTCTTTTTTGCTCCAGGCGTCAAGGAAACCCAAAGAACCCTACAGCGTCCTTTGTAGGCTTTCTCCACCTCACTCACACCCTCTCTTGGACACAGATCAGCTTAGCTCTCTTCCCCAAGGCTCAAGCATCCCCCAATACCCGCCAGTTTTCCAGCTAATTCAGGCCACTCATCGTCACCCCTTCCCCACACACACCGGGTTCCTACACACACGGACACGCATACACACACACCAGCAGAACAGTTACCAAATTTCTCTTCTAAACATCACCTCCCTTGCCCACCGTGAACTTTTACGGAGTCGGACAGAACATTTTTTGAACATTAGACAGGACTTGTTTTAATTTTTTACAAGACACTCTTTTCCCTTGGAGAGTCGGGCATCTTATCTTCCTTGTTTGCAGAAAAAATGATTTTTGCAGACGCACATGAACGTCTGCAGGAGACAAGTTGCCGCGAGAGTCGTTGTGGTTCTCCCTCACCGCCTTTCAAAAAACTTTTTCCCATCTCTTTTCTTTCCCTCCCTTCTTTTTTCTCTTTTTCTTCTTCCTTCCTTTCTTCTCACAAACATGTGTTCTTTATTGAGAACCTGCTCACACGGTCCCAGGAACACGGAAGGGGCAAACCCGATTCGGCTGGCCTACGCCAAGCTTCAGAGCGGCGCCCTGATCTTCCTCCAGCTCCTAAATCCGAACTCGTCCCGGCTGATTTTCCGAGGAGGAGGAGAATAGCGGCGCCAATGCTTTTGACAAATGACCGCGGGAGGTCTAATGACGGTCAATGCGGCAGCGGCCGCGTTGGGCCACGGTTTTAACCCGCGCAGTCACCAATCCGGCCTCAACGCATCCGGCCAGAAAGCTAGTAATCAGGAACCTGGCGACGGGATACCCTCCCCACAAGCGCGGGGCAGCCTTTCTGTGGGACTGAGGGTTTCACGGCGTTTGCCCAACCTCAATGAATCCTGAGAGTTGTGCTCGGGGCCGGGCGGGTAGCCAAGAACTTCCCGGCTCGGCCTCGCCTGCCGGAGCTTGGCCCTCTAGACAGAGTTTAAAAAAAAAAAAAATCTGGGTAGCAGACCACCCCCCTCACTCTTCCCACCAGGTCAGGCACATTGTTTTGCTTAGATCACAGTTTCCTCTTAAGACCTGTGTCCAGCTAGAAGTGAAGTCCGTCCTTCCAAGGTCCTGAGAAGCGTACGCCAGGGTCCCCAAGCGCGGAGGCTGCACGCCGAAGGGTGTTTCCCGACTCAGGCGGAAGCCACCCAACAGTGATTGGGGTGTAGACCCAACCGGCTGTGAGGGAGAATCTTCAAGTGAGTGGGGCATGATCCACCCAGGCCTGGACAGTCAGCCCGCTGTTAATTTCACCTGAAGTGTTTCTGCAACTGGAGGCAGAGAAGCAAAGGAGGCAGTAGCAAGTTATTTTACCTTTTGGGGGGGAGGGGGTCGAATTATTGTACTATTGTTTCTCCAGGCTCCGGTTTCATTTCACACTTGCACAGATAACGCGGGCAAGACGCCACGCCCGTTCACAGAACTGTCTTAGAAACACCCCCCGACGCTTTCTGGGTAATTTGTCACCCTGGGAAAATGATGCTGTCTCCCAAATGCGGGTTCAGGGGTGCGGGGCGCGGGCCGCTCGCCTTCCAAGCCCCACCGCTGGGTTGCGCCTTTGCCAAATTAGCGCCTGTCCCGCGGCCAAATGTGGCACCCGGACTCCTTGGCCCACAGGCTCCTGATAGGGGAAGTGGCCTGGATGGAGACTCCCACCCAGCGGCAGGGATTGGGGCCGGGTGGCTGGGACTCCGGAGAGACTTCAGAAAGAAGTAAGGCAGAGGCTCAAGAGCAGGCGGGAATGTCGAGCCGTAGTGTGTTCTTCGAAACCCATCTGGGAAATCGGGAATTGCCCGGCATTCCTGAAACCTGTTGCGCGCGGTTCTGCCGAGTCCCGGCTCTGGGTCTGGCGGCCGGTGGGCGCCTTCGGCCGGCCGGGGAGCCTCCGCCTACATTGCCGTCCTGGCCCTCCCGAGGTTGGATTTCTGGGACACAGGCCACAGGGAATTTCGACTGTCGAGGTTTTTGACAGCGGCTCTGCTGTCCGGAGCCTGAGGTGCCCACCCAGCCCTCTCTCGGTCTCCGAGGATCTCTGGCCGCTGCCGGAGCCGAACTCATTCTCTGGCTACATAGCAACCTCAGAACCTCGGCAGGGGAGAGGCCGGGAAGAAGAGAAAATGAGTCTCCCCCTAACTCCAGAGCTTCGGGTCCCGAATACCGTACATCCTTTCGGCCTCCATCTGTACATTTTTACAGCAAGTGTCGGCCAGTTTAAGGACGCGCGTACTGGCCCCGCGCCCATGGGCACTTGAGACCCAGATCCACCGGCGGCACCTACGTTTCGGGGTCCTGCCGGCTCTCGGGACCTGGGAGAACGAAGTCTGCAGCGAGCGCGCCTTCTCACGAATCCGCCGGCTCTCGGGAGAGAGCACAGCCGGCGGGAGGGCTTGGAGACCGAGCCCTGGGCTCAGAAACAAATGAGACCCAGCCCTAGACGTTCTTCAATGGCTCCCTGGCTCCTGGTGTTCCTTCGAGTTGACAGCCAGCCTATATTCGCTTTCTTGAGAGACCCTTCGTGTATTGCCCCAGCGATTACCGCTGACCCCAGAAAGTGCTCTGTCGCGCCGCTCCATCTTGGGGAAGAAGAAAACCTGGAAAGAATCTAGCTCTTGAAATGATACGAAATGATATCCCCAAGAAGTGGTTTAGGAAATAAGGACACAGACTTTGGTGGCCCCCAGTCTCCCCAAAGAAAATGAGAACTTGTTCCCCTTGGGAGACTGTATGGTCCTACCACAAAGTCAGGCTAAACAAGGCTTCGTTCCAAGCAGCCTCTCTTCTTTGAACCATGACTGCACATGTTCTCCCACCCCTCGTGGGTCCAGATGTTTCCAGAATCTCCAGAGACCTGTCTCGAGGTTCTGAGGGTCAACCAAGCCGTTTGGTGTCAGGCCTCAGAAGTCTCGTCTGTTTTCCCCACTGGCGAGTGGGGCTTTCAAGGGCCAGCTCATGAACGGTTGAGCAGCCACGCTCCCCTCCACCTCGCCTTCGGAGTTTGCCTTAATTAGGGGGTGGGGAAGCAGAGTTGGGGGCCCGAGTTCACGTCAAAACTGTCAAAGGAGGTGGGGGAAGGAGGGACAGACTGATAGAGAGGGAGTGAGAGAGAGAGAAGGGGTGGAGAGCTCCCAGCGCAGGAAAAATTCAAAAATCGTAAAAGGAAAAGGGGGAACTTGAAGCCCAGAAGTCATTGTTTCCTTTATTTCAAAGGGAAAAACCTGCCCGATTCTCATCCTTTTGATTGATTAAGGCCCTGAATACCTCGCGGCCCCGGAGTGACAGTCCCTGAATAGACTGGAGCGAATAAAGCGCGGTGCAGAGCGCGGGGCTGGCACTCGGGGGTGTGAAGGAGGCGAGTTCGCTGGCACTTACCAAGTGATAAATAAAAGGCCATGCACAATGGTACCTTCTCTAAGGACAGACAGTCTTTACAACACTCCTGGCGTCATATCCTGCTGGGGACACTTCAGCTCCTAGCCAAGACTTCGCTCCTTTTATTTTTCCAGCAGTTTAGTCTGAATGCCATAATAAATTCCTGAGAACAAACGCTGCAGCCGGGCAAAACTTTAACGTATAGACGCATCTCTGTCGACGCATCGGGCATCTATATGTAGAGATTTAGAGCCCTGGCTTCCCAGAGTGGTTCTTAAATCAAGAAGAGGAGCGGGTTTTCTCTCCCTCCACCCCATCCCGCTCCCAGCCTTCAACCAACGAGGCCTGGGGCCTAGTGACGGCTGCCCACGCTTCGCACGACCCCCGCTGACTGACGGAGAAGACAAAGAAGTTATTGGCACACCCTGGACTCCTCTTGAGAGGAACTCCACAGGGAGGACCCTGTAAGCAGCCTAGGCCAAGGAGCGTTGACCAGAGGAAGGAAAGCTAAACATGTCTGGGGCTCCAGATGCCGTCTTATTGGAACTGCGCCCCCTCGAGTGACAATACGCCAAGAGAAATGGGGGAGGGGGCGGAGAGAGACCCACAGGTAGGAAAACGAAGCTATACAGACAATGAGAGGAAGAGTCAGAGGCAGAAAAAGACACACACGAAGAGACACAGAGGCAGAAACAGAGAAACAAAAAGTCCAGGAAAGAGATCCCAGAGAGAGGCACATGCACACAGAGCGTGGCAGACAGAGGCAGAGAGACAGAGACCCCCGGCCACCCTCAGCAGCTGCCATCTCCCTGGGGCTGTCTCTCCTAGTTTCCACGGGCCCACCCTTCTCTTCCTGGGAAAGGGCGCAGCGCGGGTCCCTCTCGGGGCCGGCGGAGGCCCCGGCACCATCAGGGATGGGAAGAGAAAGTGGCCGCTGTCGCCCAATCAGCGCGTGTCTCCGCCACCCGGGACGGTCTCCCCGTCGGCCAATCGCAGCTCAGGGCTCCTGACCAAGCTTTGGGTGAAAGAACTAATAAATGCTCCCGAGCCCGGATCCCCGCACTCGGTGTCACGACGGGAGGAGACTCAGGCAGGCCGCGCTCCCGCCTCACTCCCCGCCCCGGCTCGTCGTAGCGCTCTGAGTCCCTTTCCAGCGCCCCCAGCTGCGGGGCCGTTCGCCCAGACTCGCACCAAACTTTTCCGCCCTGGGCTCGGGATCCTGGACTCTGGGGCCTGCCCGCCCGCCCCCTTCCCGGGTTCCAGTCTCTGTACTAGGAGCGAGCAGCCCCCCTCCCTGCGTCCCTCCCTCTCTCTCCAGCCTTTTGGGGAGGGGCTCTCCGCGCTCCGGAGAGCTCCCGAGGGTCACCAGCGCCGCACTCGCCTTTCCGTGTCGCCTTCACCTGGATATAATTTCCGAGCGAAGCTGCCCCCAGGATGACCACGCTGGCCGGCGCTGTGCCCAGGATGATGCGGCCGGGCCCGGGGCAAAACTACCCGCGCAGCGGGTTCCCGCTGGAAGGTAAGGGAGGGCCTTGGCGCCGCCCGGATCCGGGAGCTTGGGACAGGCTGCGCCACCCCATCCCCAGGCTCCGCAGGCTCCTCGAGTGCGTACAGGAAGCCCTTTCCCCGGGCACCCCCACCCCCACCCCAAGAAGCGACAGTCGGGGACGAGGTCCCACTCGATTTCCTCCCTGCAAGCGGAGCGCGGTGCTCTCTGCAAAGCCTGGCGGAGCTCGCAGGCCCGGCCTGCACCCGGCTGGGCCCAAGTTCTCCCACTTTTCCCTGTTGTTTTGGAAATGCCGCGGTGGGGAAGCGGGTGAACCGGCCTCTGGGCGACAGAAACTTCTCCGAATTTTGTCCACCCAAAGTCGTCTCGAAATTGTCCCGGGTGCACCCACACTTGGGAAACATTTGTGAGTTCGGGAAGAATTTTCTTGCGGTGTACTAGTGGCTCGCCCTGCAAAGTTGTGGTGGCAAACGCCGTGCGCCATGATTGGATTTTTAGGATCAATAAATGAACTAATTAGAATTCTATCCAGCTCAAATAGCGTCTAGAAGCTTCTGTAACTTGTTTGGTCGCCTTTTCGGTCAGCCTGAAGATTCTAGGAATCCCAAGAAGGCAGGAGGCTTTGCAAGGCTGAGCCCTTCCAAACGGGTTTCCAGGTTAGTAGGGAGACCGAGCGAGATAAGGATCCCATGGAGCCCTTCACCCCTCGGCCCAGAGTAGACTGTGGAAACCGCAGCATGAATGGCGACTGGGAGGCCCACAAGTAGCCCCATCGCTGTTGTCTCGGTCCCCAGAAGTAACAGGTGACATTCACGACTGCCTGCTCCTCCTTTCAGGACCCCCACCCCCACCCTTGGCTACTGCAGTTGTGGCTGGAAACCCCAAGGACTGTCAGCTCGCCCAAGTTCCTTAGGAAGGGAGGATCCCGACTGGACAGGGTTTGGGGGGAGCAAAGTCCACCCAGACCAGAGCTTGGGTGAACTTTTCTCTGCGAGGAGGAGGCGGCTTCCAAGTCAAGACAGACTCCTACCGGCCCCAGAGGCTCCTTCCAAGTTGCCTGCCACCCCTCGTAGGCCCAAAGCAGAGACAGTTTTTCTGGGGAGAGTTATCTTCATATAAGATTCTATGCCCCTGAATTACTTAGTAATTTGAACAACTGTGATGGAAAGAGGGTCTGGGTCTGGGGGCGGGACGTGGAGCAGTGGTGGTGTGGGGGGTGTCACCTAGGATTGGCCAGAGCAGTGCGAGATTCCGTGTTGCTTTCTGTTCTCCCCGAGTGACTTTCCCCTGGCCTCTCTTTCTCACCTTCTCCCCCCAGTGTCCACCCCTCTCGGCCAAGGCCGCGTCAACCAGCTCGGCGGCGTATTTATCAACGGCCGGCCGCTGCCCAACCACATCCGCCACAAGATCGTGGAGATGGCCCACCACGGCATCCGGCCCTGCGTCATTTCGCGCCAGCTGCGCGTGTCCCACGGCTGCGTCTCCAAGATCCTGTGCAGGTACCAGGAGACGGGCTCCATCCGTCCTGGTGCCATCGGAGGCAGCAAGCCCAAGGTGAGCGCGCGCACAGGCCTTGTCCCGCAGGCTCCCGGGTTGGGGAAGATCGGACAGGGCCAAGGGCTGACATCGGGGGCTTTCCAAGGAGTTATTTTTTCAAGTCCATTTAGTGGTGTGTGTGTCTATGTCCAATATTCCTTGATGAACCTTAGGTTCAGTTGAAGCTGTTTTGCGAAGGAAAAATAACATTAAAAAAAGTACCTGGAACCCTGGGATCCCCATCAAGTTATTTTAATGGGCAAACACCCAAAGCGTGCACGTTTCATGTGCCACCTGTTGCCAGTTTCTTTCCCAAGTGTCTTCCCAGTCCCCATGCACGGCAGTGCCATATTTCCAACAACAACAACAACAACAACAACAAGAACCCAAGGAATCTTTTGAGATTTATAATGGTTTCTCTCCCAACTCCATCCTCAAGTTCCCCTGGTGCAAACTGTTTTCAATCACTTAGGGTGATTAGTCTTCTTTGTAATGAGCCAATGACTCAATTTTTAAACAGTTGGCTGGTGCTAGTCTTAAATTGTTTTGGTTCTCTTTTTAAAAGAAGGAGTCACGCTGGTTAGGACCAAGTGGAGGGGATTCCACCAGGTCAGTCTTTTCTTCTGGGTATAGAGCAAAAGTCAGTGTGATATTCCTGTTGAAACGGGGCAAAATCAAGAGTGTTATGGTAAACTTCAGTTACCAAGACTCCAAACACCCACCCCTTCCCTCCTACCCACCAAAACCTTTTCACAACCTTCCTAAGGATTTTTGGAAACTATTTTTTGGGAGACAGGTGGGAGGGGAACCCATCTCTGAAATTATTCGTGTTTGTTATCCAAGCTAATTTTAGAAACCTGCATACTTCTCTTTTGCCTTTCTTTCTGCCCCTTACTTTAGACACAATCTTGTACCCCTTTGGAAAAACACAAGTTGTAGCTCAACTTGATTTTTTTAAAGCTTCTGTTGCATTCTTTTTTTAGTTTCATTTTCACGTTGATGCTGGGTGAGGAGTTGGCCTTACTTTCAGGGATCAGAAAATAAAGCTCCCCCCAAAGATGTGATAATTCTTCTTCATTTATCCTGATTGTCCTAGCTTATCTGTGGATGGAGAAGGGGGTTGGGGGAGGCTGTTCCGAGGTGGTAAGACTTCTCCCCTGCCCCTTCCTAAAGTAAATTGCCACAGAGAGTCGGGGTCCTTTGGCTAACAAGCGGAACCTTCCCAGAGGACAGGGCCAAAGGCGGGGGTGCAGCGGGTCTGGCCGGGGAACCGGGTATCAACTACCGCCCTGCCTGTTCTCTTAAAGCAGGTGACAACGCCGGACGTGGAAAAGAAAATTGAGGAATACAAAAGAGAGAACCCGGGCATGTTCAGCTGGGAAATTCGGGACAAATTACTCAAGGACGCGGTCTGTGATCGCAACACCGTGCCATCAGGTACGAGGCCCATTGAGGTCTCCTCTGGCGCGACCGTCAGTCGCTATTATCCAGGAGGGTCGATCGGGCCTTAATCGCCCCGATTATCGATCCTGGCTATTGGGAGGCGGCCTCTCCCAAGGCCCTAAAATATTTACGAACCAGAGGTTCTGGGCGTTTTATGGGTGGGGAGGAGGGAGGAGGAGGGGTAAGCTACTTGTCCTGGGGGCGGAGGGTTGAGAGACCGCAGCTGAGGTCTCCCCAAAGAAGATTTCAGCCGAGGAGGCAGGGCAGGAAACGTGAGGCGGAGGCCAAGCGTTTATTAATATTGATGTTCCCTTTTAAAGAGAAACAAATGTTTTGGTAACCCCAGCCGAAAGGAGATGGGGCCGCGCCGGGCGAGGCTGTGCCCTGTGCGCAGGGGAGGGGAGACTTCGGCAACCGCCTCCATGTGCCCCGAGTTCCAAGGACCATCCGGCGGCCCCTCACCCCCACCCGGCGCCCCGGGGAAGGCGGAGGGAGCAGGGGGCGAGCATGGGGCCAGCGCAGGGGCGCGCGGAAGAGTTTGTTTTTAATTAAAAGGAAACTCCCTTTTTCCCTCTGCGAGAACGGTGTATTTCAGAGCATGGATTTGTTTACCCGACTGGAATCTGGAAAAAATAAATGAGAGGGTGCATTTTTCTTTTGACTTTTACAATAGGAAACGATTCTGCAGTTGAAATGTAAACCTTTTGTGCCCTTTATATACATATATAACTTGTGTAGCCGGGGACAGGTCTGCTTTGAGTTCTCTTCCCTTAAGGCGACCCGCAGGGCACATGCGTTGGGTGGAGAGGAAGGATGGTCCCGGGTGGGCTGGTGAATGAATTCTCTTAGATGGGAGACCAAGAGCCCAGCCTGTGGAATCAAGAAGGGAAACGCTTCCTGCCGGGAGGCGAGGCGCGGAGATGGCGTTTCCCGGGCTCAGCTTGGAGGCGCCGTCTCTCTGTGCCGAGGGACCGATAACAGGGTGGGGATTGTGAGGGGATGGTGGAAGGACGGAGGTGCCCCGAGATACAGGAGGAGACAGCCGAGCAGCGCCGGGCCGTAATCCTTGCACCTCGCTAGGGGTCCGGGGCCTGCTTCAAGTCCGGCCCGCGCCTCTCAATCGCTTGCGCTCCCTCGCTCCCTTCTTCCTCCTCCCCCAGTGAGTTCCATCAGCCGCATCCTGAGGAGTAAATTCGGGAAAGGCGAAGAGGAGGAGGCTGACCTGGAGAGGAAGGAGGCGGAGGAAGGCGAGAAGAAGGCCAAACACAGCATCGACGGCATCCTGAGCGAGCGAGGTAAGCGGCGGCGCGTTGGGCCGCGCGCTCGGGGCCTGGGCCGGCATCCCCTCCCCGGCGTTGGGGGCCTGATGGCAGCCCAGCTCGGGCTCGGGCTCGGGTCAGGGTCCCTCCTCGCTCACAGTCTCTCCACCCGGATCGGGGCATTGCAGTCAAAGACCAGAGAGATGCCATTAAAGCAGATATCTTCTCTATTCTGTTTAATTGTTCTATTTTGTAAATTTTTGACCGTACCACTTCCAGCCCCTCTGAAGTGTGAATTGTGCTCTGGTGAGGTGCTAGCCTCTTGCTATTTAGGGGACCGGGCATCTCTGAGCGATGGAGAGGCTGAGGATAGAGAGTACTGGAACCTTCAGAGGTTGATACAGCTTTTGTGCCCTCAGGAGAGGCCTTGGTCTTCAGAGTTTCCCACATTGAGAGAGAGAGAATGAATTTGGGGGGCCGTCCCCACAAAATTGTCCCCACATCTGTGCTGCCTTATGAATGTGGGTGCATATTGGCTGGTTTTGATTCGTTTTACATTGGTTTGCAAATGTAATGGGGTTTAACCTGTATGTGTCTGAAAATCAAAAGGTGCTCATGCCCTGGGTTATGAATAAAAGGGATCTGGGTTCTCAGGCTCCTAGTGCCAACATCCTATGTCCCCCAGAGGTGCAGACTACCCACTCGTTGCTGGCTGTGGCCTGTCAGCACCAAGAAAACACATCCCCCCTGAAGAGCTAGAAATGTTGCTTGCTTCCCCTTCACCTGCTGCAAGTCATCTTAAAACTTTAAGTGTACACATACACAAAGAAGAAAAGACAAGAAAGTCAGTGCCATTGGAATTGAACCAAGAAGGGATCATTGCAGCGGGAGAGGAAGAATTGTGTCTCAGTGGCTTTGGCCTTGGAGGTGATAGCATCTCTTCAAATGTGCACGTGGTCAGGAGTGACCAGAGGCCCCACGCACACCTGAAGTTTTCATGCCTGGGACTTGGACTTTGTTGGGCTGAACTGAGTTTTGGAGTTGCCCTGGAGGGGCAGGTGGCTCTTCAAGTGGGCTTAGAGCAGTCACCATCTTCGACCAGTGGATCCACACCCTCATCAGAGTAGCGCTCAGGGTGGGGCTTCTTTTACCTTCACCGCCCAACCCTGGGGCAGCCGCCGGCTCTTCTGAGCAGCTGCTTTACAAACCAATGCCAGTTCTGTACACAACCTTGAAAGAACATGAAGATTTGGATGTTACAAATCCAAGCGTCTGGTTTGAGGGATAAACAAAAACATAGATGCTCAGATGCACACACAAAATCAACAAAAGACATCTTTTACCACAGTAGGTTGGGCGGGGAGATGGTGTATGCTGTCGCTTCCTTCCTTTTTACAGCGGGGGTTTCCTACGGACTCAGCCTAAACTCCTCTTTTTGGAGGGGTGCATTTCTGTCCTAATCTCTGTGAAGACATGTCGTCTTTTATCCCAGGCCTAGCTGCAGCACAGAGGTGCTGGGAAGGGAGGAAGGCAAGGAGTCAGACAACACCAAACGTGTCTTTGCGGGCAGTAGGGAGAGGTATCTAAGCGGTCAGAGAGGCTGGGGGCCCACGGCTTTGCTACTTGTTGCTGGAGGCACCAGCGCAGCAGACCGGCTGTTCTCTCGCAGTACAGGCGACCGAGGCCCAGGAGACAAAACGTCCCAAATGAGCTGGTCAAACATTTGTACAACTTTTCCAGCTTTTACAAAGAAGGCCTTCTCTACACAATCTACACTTGGAGATGAACTTGGGAGACAAAGCCTGGAGAGTCCATTGAAACTCACACTTTAGCTCGGCCCAGACAAAGCTCCAGCTCGGAGCAGCTTGATGTGAACAAAGGAAGGCAACCTTTTTATAATTCAAGGAGAAAAGAAGAGAAAACAGCACCACAAAAGACCGAGAATAGACATTATGGGCTGGCAATGAGGGATGAATTATTCAATGAGCCCCAATAGCTGCTGCGCCAGGAAGTTTTATGGACTCTCCAGTGTGGAAAAAGTGGCCATTTCACCTACAAAATGTTTCTAGTCTTTTAGGCTGTCTAGCTGGGCCGGCTGCCATTCAAGGGCAATTGCTACCATTTTAAAAATCAGAGTATTCTCCCCAGTGGGGGCTGTACTGTTGAAAACACACACACACACACACACACACACACACACACACACGCACGCACACACACACGCACCTTGGAGGCTGAAGCCTAATTTAATTTGAGGTTGTCAAGGAAGATGCAGCGTCAGTCTCTTCAGCACTTCCATCTCCTTTTCTGATGAGCCCTGGAGGGCAAGAGGGGCCCCCCAAAAAGGACAGAGTTAGGTGTGGTTTGAAGTCTAGATATTTCAAAAATTCCTCTCTGTTGTCCAGGCATTAAAAGCCCTAGGCTGCCCCTCTCATAAAATAGAATGAATGTGGATAAAGGGTACCTAGCGCCCTCTGGCAAAGAGGAAGGAGAAAACTGACAGACAAGGGACTTTGGGGTGCACTGACCAGCGAGATGTGCTCTTGCCAAATTTCCAACTAGTGGGCCTGACTGGGTACTGCTGAAACTGGCTTTCCATCTTTGGCTTGGGATCCGCTTGGTAGACACTGAGACAAAGGCATAGAGGCACCCTGAATGAGATCGGAAATACCTTCGTTCTTCTCTCCAGGGTCTTACCTTTCTCCTACACGGCCCCTCTTCACTTTCTCAAATTTCCCTTTTCCCTCAGTCCAAGATCATGGTGCGCTCAGGCCCGTGCGTCTTAGTGGGCGCGCACTAGACGCTGTGCGCCCCCGCTGGGTCCATCTTTCTAGCTCCCTCTCCCGGGCGCAAGGAGAAGCTAGGGGGGCCCACGAACACTCACCTCCCCCAGACCTCCCCCTCCTTCTCCCCGCTTGCCCTGGCCCGCTCTGAGATCGGAGCAGGCGCAGCCAGGGGAGCCAAGCCTTGGCCGCCGCGTCGGGGGCTGTGGTGGGCACAGCCCGCGCTGCGGCCGCTCAATGGGCGCCTCTGTTCCTCCCCCAGCTCGGCCGAGCGGGCCCGCGGGCGCCGCCACAATGGGCTGGGCCCCCACTCCTGCGCCCTGCGCCAAAGCGCCGCGCCGCACCGCCCCCTCCCCGGCGCTCCGGCCGGCTCGAAGCTTAGCTCGCCGGGCTGCAGCCGACTCAATTGCCTCCTTTATGTCCCTCTCACTTTCATCTAGACGCAGCCCGCCTCCCCCCTTCTTCTCCTCTTTTTTTTCCCTCCCTTGCCTGAGGCTCACATTAGTGAAATGTCTGCAGCCTCCCCCCATTTTTTTCTTATTTTAAAGAAAGCCCTTAACACAAAGGCGGTGACTAATCAATAGAAACTGCTCCTTCATCATCTCCTCCTCCTCCTCCTCCTCCTGCTCCAGCAGGGTGACGCTTTTCCTGTTTGTGAGTTTTGGGAAACATTTTTGCTTTGTGCCATAATGGAATTAGAGGACAGATGAGGACTGTAAATGGACACGCGACTGCAAGACTCTCGCTTAAATATTTAGATGCAACGTTACAATTACTGACTTGTTGTAGCGGCTTTGAAGTGGCAGCTCGAGAGTGCAGGGGGAGAGAGGCCAGATTACCAAATTGATGTTTTGATTGGGACTGGAGATACGCTCTCCGAAGACTTTCCTCCCTTTTAAAAATCACAAGTGAGCGTGGGAGGTTTGCCACAATTTCGAAGACGGAGCTGAGAGACCTCAAGCCTAGGTCGGTTGGGGGCTTATATTCCTTTCATAGCTCCCCCCTCCTATTTGACGTTTACGAAGAAAACTGCCTTAAAAAAAAAAAAAAAAACCGAGAAAGTAAAAGGGACGAAAGTTTTTCTCGCGTTTCCGTTCTGTTTGTCAGCTTGTGAGTTTTTCTCCAACGAAAGGGGAGGACTTCAGCTTTCCGGGGTGGAGGGAAATAAGATAACGCAATTTAAAAAGGCAGCAAAGCTTTGAAGGTCTTTGGAATATTTCATTTCCAGCGGAATCAGGAAAACGGCACTTTGACCATTAAGGGAGCGCTGGAAACGAGGACAACGCGGGGCCGCTTTCTCCCCATGTAGTTAGCACGCAAGGGCATTTTAGCACAAGGTTAGCGGGGACGGAAAGGCGGGGAACAAACTTCCGTAGATTAAGATCATGGGGTCTAGGATCATGGACTTGTAGCGTCGGAACCTTTATTGAGGTGGCAGCCCAGCTCCCTCTCCAAGACCGCTTGCTGGGGTCACGAATTGGACCTCAACCTTACTGCTACTCTGTAGAGCACATTTCATATTTTCTGAGCTCCTGCAACACTCAACAAGGAAATATCACCCATTTCTTTTTCTTATCTTCTTTTCTTTTTTCTTAATACTGGAACTATCAGAACTCGGATTAAACGAGCACACCACGCTGCGTTCTTTTCTTTAATGGAGCGGCAACAATTTTCCTGCGGGAACAATTTTAAAGGAAGCGCCAGAGTGCGGCTTGTAGCCTTTCTCGCCTGTTTGGTTTGGTTGACTGCTGTCTGTTTGCTTTCTAGCTTTATTGAAAACATGCAGATTTGCTAATTAATGTTGGAAATCGTATGTTTATTTCGGGGGTCTGATTGGATTGTTGATAGCACCGGAACGGGGACGTAGGGGCTTCAAGTGCGTAATAATTACTGAAGGGTCATTTAAAAGTCCCCAGGGTTGAGCAATAAAACCCACCCAGGCGGTGAGGCGGAACCGGCCCGCGCGGCGCGGTGCAGGCGAGGGGGAATACTGTATACCGAAATCCATCACGTGAGTAGGAGCGTTGCCACTGGGTCCGGAGGGTTTCAACGTCCATGAATACATATATTTTTGAGAACAGCAGCATAAAAATCATTCCTAACCGTGAGATTAAATGTTTAAACTGTGCGTAAGGAAAATGACCAATGAAAATAAAAAACTGCAACAGTAGCAACAAACAGATGGAGAGAGAGAGAGAGAGAGAGAGAGAGAGAGTTTAGCCTGGGCTGCAACAGAGAAGGTTTAAATTCGGT